AATCGTTCCTACTGACTGCCATCCTACTCATCTTCCAGATGAGACATGAAATTGAAACCCTAAGTAGAGAAAAACATCACATATTTCACAAGAGGGGAGGGATGTTAGTTCTGGTCTTCTGGCCATCTTCCAGCATGGGTAATTACATTTCTACCTAACTAAAATTCCCTCTGCTCTACGGTTTTAATTGGACAGTAGTTTCTTTTTTGCTTGTCTAAAATCCCAGGTTGGGATGAAACCCCCTCTGGCTAATTCAGCAGCCCTAGTTTCAGTAGAGCTACAGAGGCATTTCCAAAAAAAAATCTGGTTTTGTTTTCAGATTTAAGAGGCATCACACCAAATGGCCTGATCTGACAGAGCCCAAAGCAAAGAAATCCTCCCTTTGGTTTTCGGGCCCTAACGTCAAGGATCCTTGTGTGGAACTAGCACCTTGAATGCCTTGCTGAAGGTCAGCATCCTCACAGCTCTGTTTTGTAGTCACAAAAGGAGTGCTAAGACAAAATTTCCAGCACAAACAATCTCATTCACATGGTGACACTTAGGAAGGTAGTCTGATTGCCCAAGTGAGAAGTATCCAGCAGCACCTATTCATTTAAGCATCTTAGCTGGTGTTCACAGCTGGCATTTTAGAAGGTACTTAATAGGATCTGCACATTAGGATATCTTATACTCAAGAGCTTTAATCACTAGAACTTCAATATAATGTCTTTTTTTTTTAATATTTTTTGTCCAGAACTTTTAACTGGCTCTGTTTGAGGTACCCAATAGAAGGTCACCTGTATGAGAGAGACACCTTTGCAGTAAAGTACTTGAGTGTATGCTTACCTCCAATAGGACATTCACTAAGCTTAAAGCGAAACATGATTTAATGGCTTTGGCAAATTAGACCCAAATTCATCAGTTTTGCAAGAAAAAGATGTCTAACCATCTGTAGAGATCGGTAACATATTGAGTCAGAGGAGACTTATAGAGCTGACAGGAAAAGAAAATTCAGACATATATTCTGCAAGGAAACACAAAACTTTTCCTATTAATATTGTTCTAGGGAGAAGCAACTTTTCCTGATGCCATGCAGTATTATCTGGTCTCCCAAAAAGCTTTTGCTTAATTTGTGTATACGCTGAATTTGAAAGGCCATAACTAATAGGAAACAGTCCCAACCAACAGGCAAAAGATTTGCTTTCCTTTGCCTTTAAATGAAATATCAATGGATGGATATTTTATTTTTAGTTGAATATGAAATTTCACAAGCAACCTGTCAAGTTCCCATTTTCAAGAATTACTTTATTTCACACGTCAAGACAGGCTGGGAAATTAGGTTTTCCCACAGAGGACTCTGATCAGGGATTACAAAGTGAGTGTGGCACAGAGCGATTTTTCCTCCATCTTTTCCCTCACCTCACCAGTGTGGAGCACATCTGACTCTGCTGACTAAGGGGAGCAATTCATTACCGTGCGTAAAAGAGGGACAGGAAACAAGATAGTCATATTAAGTAGACTTGCTGGCCCAAGAGAGAATAGGGAAAGCATAATAATACTTAGCCCTTATATTATTCTTTTCATCAGTAGATATCAAAGCACTTGAAAAAGGAGGTTGATTTGATGGGAAAGGAGATAAATGCCAATTCCAAGTAGGCTATTGCAGAGGTGCCAGCAGGAATGTTCACTTTCGTATAGTCTCTTTTGATTGTGGATCTGTCGGGTAGAGAAATAAACAGGTACTTTCCTCGGTAAAATGCGGAATTAACATACAGATCTCAAAGTACATTTCACATATTATTGACTTACCCACTGTAATTCTCTTGAGGTTTGGCAAAATGTAAGGTCCAGTCCAAAAAGCGGAGAGAGCAAGGGGGATATTATGAATTACTAATAAATGACTGAGCAGACAGGATCTATTGCCTTTGTCAGCAGACAAGAGCTGATTTACACCACGGTTTAACTGCTTGTGGAAGCAATAAATAGTCCAGATGAAAGGCTCTGCAGTTTTTACCCCATGGAAAATCTGGCCCATTCTGGGGCATTTCTAATGTTATCCAGTGGATTAGTAGGAGTCACTGGAGTAGAAAGCAGTCTTGTTCTGCTGTAGATGAACAACATTGTTTGGTTACTCTGCTAAAAATCCTACACTGGGCGATCTGATAGAGTTTACTGCCTGATTTCCTTTGGGTCACATGAAAGGTCTGCAGATGAGGAACCACATACAAAAAGTATCAGTCCCAAGCTCAGTCTTCAGATTCGAGAGCAATGCAGCATCTCTATTGGGCCCCATTGCAGGACACTTAGTAACCCCCTTTTTTGTCTCCTCTTTTTTGTAGTATGTGCTCTAACTTGCTTCTATTTGCCAGTGGCCTGTCTGCCCTGTGTGTATGATAGTGATGTTCAAAGGGGCCTGAAGTCCTGCTGCGACAGGCAACCCAGAAAAACATCTCATAAGTGGCAGTCTTAGATCCCATTGGGTCAAACGGCTGCTGTGCAGTCAATATGACTCACATCAGGAGGGAAGAACACTCCAGGGGCAAGAAGTTCCTGTGGAGGTTACCCATGTTTTCATGATGCTACATACAATAATAGCTTGGTTTTCAACAGTGTGAGGCATCAGCAATTTCCTGAGGCAGTTCTCTGGACTCAAGATCTCGGGGGTAGATAGAGACAGAAAGAAAAGCGGAAGGAAGAAGACACCAACTTATTTACACTTCTCTGTTCTGTTAACAGGACGTATCTTCAAAACCCATTTGCAAGATGGATATTTATTCACATTATTCAGTTTCAAAATCCTCCAAGCTGCATTGTGCCCACCACACTGCAGACTCTGCTCTGCAAATCACAACAGCAGTTCTGAACAGCCCGATCTGCTGTGGACCAGTGCCTCCCTCCAAATAGGTTTAAATCATTAGATTCAGGTTACCAAATAGTCTCTTGGATCAGGGTTAATTAAATGAGTGTTGAAATCTAATTAAGGACTAGTCCAGGTGATAATTAGCAGGAAATGTATGCATTAAAATATTCATTTGTCGATGAGCTGCAATTAAGAGTGTGATTTGGGGAAGGATCAATAACTACATCTTGTGATCTAAAAAAATGAAAAGTCTCCCAGCCTTGAACAGAAATGCAGTGGAATTTTGTCTAGATATATTTTCCTTCTCTTCCCCCACTCATTGCTTTCTATTTTGGTCTTATAATAACTTTTGAAGACTTCTCTCCACCCTTGAATAGAGCATTCATCTCTCCATCCCTTTCTTTTCCTAAAGCATTTCTTTCAACCCCTTGCTTTTCACCACATTGTTTGAGTAGGTTACAGATTTACTAGAGAGAGACTAACAGGTCAAAAAGAAAAATTCTTTACCAATGAAAATCACTTTCTTCCAGAACAGGCTGCTAATCCAGGGGAACATCGCTGATTGTGTAGCCTTAGATTGTTTGGGGTTTTTTTTAGCAAGTTAATTCCTCAATTCTTTATTCATAACTGAGGATCTGGAGAGGCTGTTGAATATGCATAGCTTGGACTTACGTATACATCCATCCATAGCTGTGGTTTACTATGCTATTCCCAATTCATAGCAGAGCTACTCTGCTTTCACTGAGACTATTTTTTCCTGTTTACAGGTACATAGGGGTGTATGTAAGCCAGTTAATAACACTAACCCTGTGCAATCCCAGGCAATCCCACCTCTGCTAGAAAAACAAGGGCCCTGAAACAGCCTAGCTCCTCTGGCATAGATCTGGACTTCCTCTACTGCCACTGCCAGAGGCTGAGCTGGCTATTTCCCCACTGACTGTATTTCCATCAGTGAATACCAGTGTGTCAAAAGGGAACTGTACCGTGGGAGCGCGATGATTTCAGCTGCTCTTTGTCAGTCTCCTGACAGCTCACCTGCCCATCTCCCCAGGCTTGATGGCAGCCCAGCTCCTGAGACAACTATCTGCCTGCTGTCGGGGCTGCTGCCAGATCCCCCCCTCCCCTACACCCCTGTTTCCCCAGGGAGACCGCGCTGTGGGGAATCAACCAACCCATGAAGTTAGGACGTCCTTGGAGCCAGACAAAAAAATACCAGTGCCTTCCTTCCTGAGTAGAACTATTTCTTCCCATCTCTGCCTCCTATCAGAAACAGAAGAATTGCAGTGACTGATCTTTCACCTCATTCTGGGGACAAGAGGGATTTCTTTCATTCCTAAAAGCTCTACATTTTTCACAAACTTCTGCAGCCACCTGTGATGATCATCTGTAGTTCTGCACTGGTATTGAGTGCAGACATAACCCAAAGACCATAAAGCTTTTCTGGAAAAGTGTAACATTAAATGTGGGCTCTTCTGTGCTAGCCTTTATTTCCTACTGTTCATGGAGAGGAAGCTCAGGTTGACCAGGTACTATTTTTGCTCCCCAAGTTTAACAGTGCTGAAGAGATGCTGCCTTGTGGTGAGACATACACTTTGCTCAACATACTGAAACCTGTCTCCAAGGCTGGGCATGGATTTCTCGCTGGACATGAGGGTTACAAGATACGGCAGTGTGAAAGGGTGATCCAGATCAGGAGGTCTGGCATGAACAGAACTAACACATTTCATCAGAATAAATCAGTTCACAAATCCTACCACATTCATCCATCAAAAGCCCCTGCATTTTGCTGTACTGAGTTCAGCTCTTTGTCCTCTGATGGTACAACCTGCTGGGTCAGAAGGTGTCCTATATGTTGAAAGAACAAGGCAACAACTTTTGCAGCGAGAACATTAATGACAGCCTGGAGATTTGAATTTTGGAGGAAACTAGGAACAAGGCTGCTGGCCTCAGTCATTCACCCTCCAGGATCCTTTACTTCCTCCCTGGTGCTCTCAGCCTCTTTGCATAGGTCAAATTCAAAAGGCCTCTGAGAGGTTGTGTGGGAAAAAACAGTGCCAGCTGGATCTCATGCTACCACATCTGTGTTAGATTGTGGATTGCATGAGACAATGTGTATTGGGCTAATTCCCTTCTGTGTCTCCTTTTGTTTCCTGTGCTGCAGGGAGCCTCTTCAAGCCTGGTGGTGAAGTTTGCTGATACAGACAAGGAGCGTACAATGAGACGCATGCAGCAAATGGCAGGACAAATGGGCATGTTCAACCCCATGGCCATCCAGTTTGGAGCATATGGCGCCTATGCACAGGCAGTAAGTATAGACACTGGTTCTATGCATGTTCATGGGAATGGGAACAACACCTAGAACTGCACAAAAACACATGTGAGCAGAGGAAAAACTGAGCAGAGGAGGAACCAGTGATTTCTATGTTAAACTGGTTACATAATGGGAGCAAACTAAGCCATGCCATTCAGGGCAGACAAGGGCATCTCCCAGGCAAGTCTCAGAGGTGTAATTCTAGCAGTAAGTTCACTGTGATAATGTGTGAACCCATGCAAGACGCTGCCGATGGGGTCTCAGCTATTGCTGTCAAGTCCAATCACAACTAACATTTGAGGATTTGGATAAAATGGTCCTGAATTCATCTTATCCTAGTTCTCTCCCCAGTGTCAGCACCAGCTGCCGCCAAAGAAGGTTTATGGGGGCACAGATACCTTTCTGGCCCTCCTCTGCTCCCAAGCCACATAGACTGAGCTGAGTGGAGGAGGTGGCTCTGCTCCATTTGGCCAACCTCTGATGTCCCATGCATCATTGCGGCTACCTCTGGAGTGACCACAGGATAAAATGGCAGCTGCTGACAGAAGTGCTTTTAGATTCATGAAAGCATGCTAGATAATACTAAAATGGACAGGCAGACATATGCACACACACAGTCCTGTCTCCCCAAAACAGTACAATTTGAGCACACTGGGAAAACACATCAGCTATTTGAAGCAGTGTTGTTGCACTGTCTAACTTCAGGTATCCTACTTACGTACCAAACCTGAACCCTGGGCCTCTGAGAAAATGTGACCGTCCAGGGATCTGGGCTCTTGACAAAGCTCTGAAATGGATGCCTCTGACATAACTACCTTTCCTTAGGCTACAATTAGCAAGGACCTGCAAGACAAGATTAGGTCCAGGTAACTTGGTCTCTCTGCCAGATATTTCAGAGGAAGGTAGAGATGACCCCTGCAGCAGGCAGACACAATACTGCCAGGTGACTTTGGCTGTCTTCTCTGGAGCAGATTTGCAGGCAGTGACAGTGCATCTAGGTGATTCATCCGTTTGGTGACAAAATGAAGCCCTCTTGTGCTCTGTGCTGGACTTGTATACAGGAGGGAAGTACCATTAATCCCATTTTCCAGAGCAACATCTTCCTGAATGAGAAAGACCAAATGCCTTGCCTTAGGTATAAAGGGCCAACTCAAGAATCACACTCCAGTGCACCCATTCTCCCTCCAGCACACTGACCACAAGGCTCTGCTTTCTTCCCTGACTATTTCTTTCCCAGACTTTGGTGCCATGGATTTCCCATCACATTGACATGTTCTTTTATTAACTTGAGTGCCTTGAAATTTCTGTCCTCCATTGAGTGTCCTGTGCCTCACCGAATGCTTGATACAGCCCAGCCTGTCCTTTGCCTGAACCATGTAGAGTCATGAGGGCATGCTGTAGAGCTCCACAGAAGTTCCTCCTCTCTTTCCAGATGCACTCCTGATGCTATTGTAGACTTTTTCTTTTCTCTCCCCATTTTGTCTTCTCCTTCCATTTTGTCCTCTTTAGTTTTATTCCAGTCAAAGACAATCTTTGCCTCTTCCTTTGTCCCCTGCTCCCCTCCTCACATGTCCCTCCCCAGCCTGGCTGTGTTTAACTGCCATCCTGGCCAGGGAAGGTTACAGGAGGAAAAGAGACAGTAAATCACAGCTGAGCCCAGGTCAGTGGCCAGCAGCCAGGCAGAGAGATGCAGCATCTGTGCCCCTGTGTACCAGAGGAATTAACAGGAGCTGACCCATGGGCAGCTCAAGACAAACATCTGCAGAGGTTGTCAGGCAGGAGATATGGCTTCAGTGTTATACTACAGGCATTGATCAGGCAGCTGGAGAGGTGGTAAAGACACCAGCGCCCCAATGCTCTGGTCCAAAAACGCTTCTCGCATCATTTTTTATCTGGAGTGATTCTTCTGATTGCCAGCCTAGGTTTATATTGATATAAAAGAGGATGCAGTCTGCATCTTTGCACCACAAAAGTTTCCTCCATCTATTTGTCACCAGATAATATGGGACATTATGAGATTAGGTGCTTGAGTGAGGATTTATCACCACCAAAAGAGTGAAAACAATTCCTGGGTTTGCTCCCACTCCAATTGAAACCAATTAATATTTTTCCTATTGATTTATGTGAAAGCAGAATAGGACCCATCTCTTTTTTTTTTTTTTTTTTTTTTTTTTTTTTTTTTTTCCCTGGTAAATATGCTAATATGGGGGAAAGAATAAGTTTTAGATCCTGACCCATTGAATATGACAAGCTGGTGACACCAATTACCCTGGGGACTTCAGAGCTGTCTAAATGATGGGATCACATTTCCATGTGGCGCCTGTACACCCAGAGCGTGCTCAGATGCTGTCTCTCAATCAGGCTCCCTATCTGTGTCTCTCCCTATCTGCTTCATCTCATAGTCTCACACAAAAGGGAAGGAAGGGAATGCCGAGGCTCTGTGACGTTCCCTCGGTCCCGATTAATCCACCTCGGACTGCTAGCTCTTAGATATCAGGGTGATTGGCACCTCACAAATGCCAGCGGGAGATGGAAGAATCGATAAGAGGAGAGAGAAAGGAGGGGCAATTTTATTCAGCCTGAACTGAAGTTGAAGAACTAAGGCAAGTCAGGAGAACGGAAGGTGAAACAGTGAAAATGCAAGAGCAGGACAGCGATGACAGCTGATGTCACTGCCACCAGCAACTCGTGTGACCTTGGGTGAATAGTTTGACCCCCTGGTCTCATTTACCCATGTACAAATAAAGCTGATGATCACATTTATTTATTTTCCCTTCTCCCTTAGGGGCATGGCTCTCTCTTGTGCTGTCTCTCCATGGATTTTCACACAGGGGCATGATGGTAAAACAAGTTTAAGAACTACCTCAGTGTTTAGTAATAAGGCCAGGACTAGCATGACGCACTAGCTCTCTGATTTGTACTCACAACCTGTCCTCCCAGCTATCCCACTGCAGTTCAGGCTTGACTGATTTCTCCATATAAGTTCCGAAGCAATCCCACGAGAGCTGGTTAACCAATAGTTTCTAATGGTCTGTCCCCGTGGAGAAGGTTTCCAGTCAGCAGTTTCTTGCTGAATCCCCCCAAGAGAGGCATCATGCACATCACTGGGACTGGATTAGCTCCTGCAAAAAGGTCTCCGTGCATCAAGGTGGCCAGTGCAGCAGAAACCCACATGGTGTGGCTGTTTAAGAGATTAGTGGGCAGGAGTGGATTTGCAATCCCAGCAGCAGCACTGGGGAGAGGCAGGGAGGGTGTCCGCCCATCAGTGTTTGACTGGTAGCGGACAGTGTGGCCACCAGGACCGCTTTGGGGCCCAGCTCATCTTTGAGTTACCTCCTTTGCAGCTCAGCAAATAGCCATGACACAGTTCACTCCTTGCTGCTGCTCAACGTCAAGACACTCAACCTCAGTTTAAGCAACTTTAACCTTGATAAGAGCAATGGCCTCACATCAGCTAAGCAACTAGTCCTTGGGTTCAGCAGCCATATGGCCTCAGATCCAGAGGTAAAACAATCAGGAAGCAAAGGGAGTTCTCCACTGTGTGTGTTTTTGCCTCCCCTACTCATGTGCCACCTGCAAGCAGACCAGACAAAGCTTGGCACTAACTCTGTGTGCTATTTCAGTGACACAGAAAGTCACATCAGACCCACCTCACCTCTTTTGTATGCAGCTCAAGGCAAGTCAGGTTTCATGGCTCTCTAAAGCTCCCAGAGCCCCTATACTAATTTGTTTCAGGGGTTTTTTGATTGTTTTAGGTTTTTTCTTTTCAGCAATATCTTCCCATACTCATTTAACTTTCCTTTTATGGGGCTATTATTTATGTTAGTTCACACATGTATAGGGCACCAGCCCTTTTTGTTGTCAGATTGCTGTGGATCTACATCAGCTGGGTATTGATAGCTGTTTCTGCAGTCTCAGTTAAGGCTGGCTTGAGGTATAGATCTGAACTGAGCCTGGAGAGAAGGAGACTGATGCTAGGTGACACCACCTTTGATTTGCTGCCAGTTGAGAACAAGCCTGAAGGCACACACTCCAGCTCAGAGCAGCACAGCACACCTTCTTAGACCCTGGTAAGCAGTGGGGTAGCCAAGCCCAAAATCATGAGCAGTAAAAGTCAAACGAGACTGTAATGGTGGTAGTATAGAGATGGTCCAAATAAGCAAGAGTGGCAAAAATTCCTGCAGGTCTTCTTTCTGTGAAGAAAGTAACAAGTAGTTAGCAGCTGTCTCATGCCACTGCTGCCCCGCTATGCAGAAAAGGAAATGTGCACAGATCAAAAAGTGTTGGAAAGATAGGAAAATGCAGAAGAACAAAGCAAGAACAAAGGAAGAAGCCTTGGAAAGTGACAGATACTGTATAAATTATTTAATTTTTAAATTATTTAAAATAAGATCAAAGTCATAAATCAAGTTTGCATAAAAAATGGGGTGGCAGTGTTAGCCACGGTCTCCTGGCCAAAATCCAACCGTGGGACTGATTGCATCTTGCAGCAGGGGACAGGCATAGAGTTAGTGAGTAAAAACAGACAGATGGGGACAGAGGCAACATAGGCAATGGTAACATTTGCTCTCCAGCCTGGAGCAAGTCCTTTCCCATCAGTAAATCCCAGCGCCCCTCACTCTGAAAAAGTACAAATGGTTGCAGCTCCTGAACTGCAGACAATAACTGCAAAAAACCTGGGAATATCCAACCCAGCAAAGTTCTCGGTCATCATCATAAGCAGTCACCTTGGGAAGTTAGGGCAGCAGTGACTACTGTGCTGACCATAAAAGTGTAGGTGTCCCCCTCTGCCTCCCTGTCCCAGCTCCTGTGGAGATGAAAGGATATTTCTGCTAAACGATCTGAGCTAGTGCTGAAGGGAAGAATCACTTGTTCCAATATTTATTCTATTCATACTGTGAAATTATTTTGGAAAGATACTTAAAAAATTCAGCTAGCCCTATCAAATCAGGGAAAATTTACTGAATATAGACTATCTTCTGTACATAATAGTT